AGAGAGACCACATGCAAAGCCACGGCCACAGAGCCCCAGGCAGGCCAACACTCAGAGCTCTGCCTCCAGAGCTCAGCCCAGGGGGGAAGGACCAGAGGGAGGGAAGGGGCAGGGAGGAGAGAAGACAGGACAAGGCACATGAATGGGCTTGGGAAATCTGGGACCCGTCGCTCGTCCCCAGCTGGAAGCTGCAGTGTGATCCAAGTGGGCAGGCCTGTTGGGTGGACACAGACACCCCAGCCCCCTTTGAAGCCCTCAGCTCTGTCAGGAAGAGCATAGCAGGCCCCCTGCATCATTCTGGGTGAGTCCCCTGAAGTCCCCTGACCCCTCTAGTGGTCCAGTGCATCCTTGCCAGGGTCCCAGGCTGGGAGCTGTCTTGGCGCCTGTGGAGGCCGGGGTTTCATCCCTTGTGTACTCTGGGCCTCCCAAACTGCACTGCATGGGTGGGCAGGTTGGCGACTGATACCAACAGGTGAGACAGGCCTGGAATAGCGCTGGGAGGTGGAAGGCAGCAGTGCAGCTGCTTGGAGGAAAAACTGGAGGAAGGATGCCCTGGGGCTACTTACCCCAGACTCTGCATGCAGATGAGGGGCTGGCTGTGGAGGTGTCTTGAAAAAGGAGGTGGCACCCTTCCTTGTTAAACTGACGGGGATGTGTGGGTCCCAGTGCAGGAAGCATCATGCACCATCCTGTTGGGAGCATCCTCACCTCCAAGACGGTGTTTGGGCCTGGGGAGGAGACGTCCATGATGACACTCTCAGGGACAGTTTCCAGGGGATTTCTGAAGTCGGATGAGCATTTGTGGCACGTCAGGTTTCTTCCATGAAGGCAGAGGGCCCAGGCAGGTGGCAGGCTCCACACTTTGAATCGGCCAATGGGACCCTCTGGTATTTTGATCCATTCATTCCTTCCTTCATCCATTCATCCAGCAAACAGTTATTGAACATCTACTGAGGAAAAACACCAAGTAAACAAAACAAAAGAAGTGACAATTTACTTAATTTAGTCTGATGGAGGGAGGATGGTGAGGTGGAGACACACGTGAGTTTTAGGAAGTTAGGGTCTGTGAGATGATGGGAAGAATCTTTAATGATCTGACTTTTGGGGTTGCTGACTAGGTGGAAGCTGCTCCCCTTAGCTGAGGGTGAGGGGGAAGGAAGAAGAGCTGGTCATGATTGGATGAGGAAGAGTGGAGAGGATGAGGTCAGTGTGGACTGTGCAGATGGGGAGGTGCTGTAGCCCATCTAGATGGAGTTGTCCAGTGGGAAAATGGGTCTGTCTATGCAGACAGGAGCTAGGGCTGGACCTGATGTTTGGCTGCATCAATAGGGGTGGTTTGAGGCCGCAAGTTTAGGTTAAACAGAGCATTGTATAGATAGTAGCCTACATGCGTGTATTAGTCTGGGTTCTCCACAGAAATAGAACCAATGATAGGAAGGAGGAGGGGAGCTGCTGGTATAATTCCTGGAGTCTGAAGGTCCAAGAACCAGGAGTTCAATGGTCTGAGAACAGGTGAAGATAGATATCCCAGCTCAGAAATTAAGAGAATTCACCCTTCTTCCACTTTTTTTTTCATTCTATGGAGGCTCTCAATGGCTGCCCACATTGGTGAGGGCGATCTTCTTTACTCAGTATACTGATTGAAATGCCAACCTCTCTCAAAAACACCCTCACAGACACATTCAGAAATAACGTTTGACCAGCTATCTGAGCCCAGTCAAGTCAACACATAAAAAATTAACCATCGCAAGTCAAACCCTTGTCAATTTGGCACCCATATGCAGCTGCTTAGACTATACCTAATGTCCAAATAAAGACAATAACAAGGTCATAATTCTGCCTAACATAATACAACTGTCCTGCACACAACCAAAAATATACTAATCATTTCCCAAGAAGAGGATTTAAATTCCTTAAATGAGATTCTTCTTCTTCTGATATCCCATAACTTAATAATATTACATAAAATTAACAATACTTAAATACTGATATGAAGTCAACACATCTATGTTACATAAGAGAATAAAGGAGGAAAGAAAATAAAGACATTTGCTCTATATATGTATGTGTATAGATATACAAACAAATGTATTTGTAAAAAATAACAGGGTTGTGGCGTTTTGAAGTCATACTTAACAGCACCAGGTAGGTGACAATACTTTGCAGGGCTGGGGTTCTCTAGAAGGTTGTATATGCTCTGAAGCAGCATCCAATATATGGTGTGGTTTCTGTCATAGCCAGGATTCAAAGGTCCAGGAATTAAGAGGTGAAAGTGGGAGTGGCACCACTCACCTTACCCCTAGTGACCTACTAGCAAAAGTTTTGCTTCCTGTTTTTGCAGCACCTTTATGCTCTGCCAGCCTAGAAGCCTTAACTCCAGGTGGAAGAATGCTTCCTCCAGGAGACACAACAATGATTCCACTGAACTAACTAGGAGTTAAGACTGCCACCCAGTCTCTTTGGGCTCCTCATGCCTCTGACTCAACAGGCTAAGAGTTACTGTGTTGGCGGGGGTGACTGATCTGGACTACCAAGGGGAAACTGGACTACTGCTCCACCATGGAGGCAAGGAAGAGTATGTCTGGAATACAGGAGATCCCTTAGGGAGTCCCGTAGTATTGCCATGTCCTGTGATTAAGGTCAATGAGAAATTACAATAGCCCACTCCAGGTAGGACTATGAATGGCTGACCTTACAAGAATGAAGTCTGGGTCACCCCACCAGCTAAAGAACCACAGTCAGCTGAGGTGCTGAAAGCAAAGGGAATACAGAATGGGTAGTAGAAGGTGGTTATAAATACCAGCTACCACTATGTGACTGGTTACATAAACAAGAACCATAATTGTCATGAGTATTTCCTCATTTTGTTATGAATACATTTGTCATCAAAATGCCTTTCAGTTTGATCCAAGTTGTTGTGTATATCAATATCTTCCTTTTTATTGCTGAGTAGTATACCACTGTGTGAATGCATCACAGTTTGTTTATCCGTCACCCATGGAAGGATAGTTGGGTTGTTTGCAGATTTTGGCAAATATGAATAGACCTGCCATAAACATTTAGGTGTAGGTTTTTGTGTGAGCATACATTTTTGTTCCTCCCAGGAGTGGCATTGCTGAGTCATATGGTAAGTGTGTGTTTATAAGAAATTACCCAATCATTTTCCACAGTGGCTGTAACATTTTACTTTCTCACAGTAATGTATGAGATTTGCAGTTGTTCTTTATCCTCATTAGCACTGTCAGTATTTTTATTTTAATCATTTTCAAATGTGTGTCATGTTATCTCATTTTTATTTTAATTTGCATTTCTTTAATGGCTAATGATGTAAAACAATTATATGTGCTTATTTGCCATTATATGCCCACTTTGGTAAAGCGCTTATTGAGGTATTTTGTCCATTATTAAAACTGGGTCATTTGCTTTCTAATTTTCAAGTTTTGAGAGCCCTTTATGTATTCTAGATACAAATCCTTCATTGGATATATGATCTGTGAATATTTTCTTCCAGTCGTTAGCTTGACTTTTTGACTTTTATTCTGTCTTTCTCAGATCAAAAGTTTTTAATTCTGAGGAAGTCTATTCTAATTTTTTCTCCTTTAGGAATCATGCTTTTGGTGCCATGTTCAAGATCTCTTTGCCTTTGCCGGGTCATGAGATTTTCTCCTATGCTTTCTTTAAAAGTGCTATTGTTTTTCATTTAACCTTTAGGTACATGATACATTTTTTATGCATGGGTATCTAATTGTTCCAATGCTATTTATTGAAAAGACCAACTTTTTTCAATGTAATTGTCTTAGATCTTAGTGAAACTACAGGCCATACATGTGTAGATCTACTTCTGTATTCTCTAATCAATGTCATTGAGCTATCTGTCTATCCCTTAGCCAATATCATAGTGTTTTGATTACTATAGCCTTATCTTAAAATCAGATAGTGTAATTGAACTTGTATCCTATGCATATATTCAAATAAAAAATAAATGGGAAAAAAAGATTTTAAAAAAATCAGCCCTGGACTGACTGATACTACAGTACCTCATCGTCTGGGGCCCAAAAGAGCTAGCAGAATCCACAAACTCTTCAATCTGTCTAAAGAAGATGATGTTCGCCAGTATGTTGTGAGGAAGCCCTTAAATAAAGAAGGTAAGAAACCTAGGACCAAAGCACCCAAGATTCAGCGACTTGTAACTCCACGTGTCCTGCAACATAAACGCCGGCGTATTGCTCTGAAGAAGCAGCGCACTAAGAAAAATAAGGAAGAGGCTGCAGAATATGCTAAACTTTTGGCTAAGAGAATGAAGGAGGCCAAAGAAAAGCGCCAGGAACAGATTGCCAAGAGACGTAGGCTGTCCTCTCTGAGAGCATCTACTTCTAAGTCTGAGTCGAGCCAAAAATAAGATTTTTTGAGTTAAATAATAAATAAGACCATATCCTAAAAAAAAAAAATCAGGTAACATAATTCTTCCAATTTTATTCTACTTTTTAAAATTATTTTTTTCTTGACCAATAAAAATTGTATATATTTAAGGTGTACAACCTGATGGTTTGATATACATACACATTGTGAAGTGATTAGCACAATTAACATATCTATCAACTCATATAGTTACTATTTTGTATGTGTAGCAAGAACATTTAAGATCTACTCTGTTAGAAAATTTCAAGTATACAATTCATTACCATTAACTATAGTTATGATGTTGTACATTAGATCTACAGAACTTATTCATCTAACTGAAATTTTGTACCCATTGACCAAAATTCCCCCATTTGTCCCAACCCCAGCTTTGGGCTCTCTGTCTCTATGAGTTTGACTTCTTTAGATTCCACATGTAATTGAGATGATGTAGTATTTGTCTTTCTGTGCCTGGCTTATTTCACTTAGCATAATGTTCTCCAGGTTCATCCATGTTGTCTCAAATGGCAGGATTTTCTTCTTTTTTATGTCTGCATAATATTCACATTTTCTTTATCCATTCATTTATTGATGAAACTTAGGTTGTTTCCATTTATTGACTATTGTGAATAACACTGCAATGAACATGGAAATGCAAATATCTCTTTGAGATCCTGATTTCAATTCCTTTGGATATATAACCAGAACTGGGATTGCTGGATCACAGGATAGTTTTATTTTTATTGTTTTCAGGAATTTTCATACCATTTTCCATAATGGCTGTGCCAATTTACGTTCCCAACAACATTGTGCAAGGGTTTCCTGTTCTCCATATACTCACCAACACGTGATATCATTTGACTTTTGATAATAACCATTCTAACAAGTGTGAGGCGATTATCTCATTGTGGTTTTGATTTTCATTTCCCTAATGATTAGTGATGTTGAGCACTTTTTTATATACCTGCTGGTCACTTGTATGTCTTCTTCAGAAAAATGTCTATTCAGATCCTTTGCCTATTTTTAAATTGTTTCTTTTTTTTTTTGCCATTGAGTTGTATGAGTTCCTTATATATTTTGAATATAAGCCTCCTATCAGATATATGGTTTGCAACCATTTTCTCCCATTCTGTAAGCTGCCTTTTCATATCATTGATTTTTTCCTTTGCTGTACAGAAACTTTAGTTTGATATAGCTCCACTTGTTTGCTTTTGTTTTTGTTGTCTGTGTTTCTTGGACTCACAGTCATAAAGTCATTGCCAAGACCAATGTCAAGGAGTTTGCCCCTATGTTTTCATCTATCTTTTTGATGTGCTGTTGGATTGCTTTGTATTTTGTTGAGGATTTTTGCATCTATATTCATGTGAGATATTGGTCTGTAGTTTTCTTTTTTGTTGTTGTTGTTTCTTCTCCTGGCTTTGGTATCAGGGTGATGCTGGTTTCATATAATGAGTTAGGAAGGATTCCCTCCTTCTCAATATTATGGAATAGTTTCAGTAGAATAGGTGCCAGTTTTCTTTGTAGGTCTCATAGAATTCAGCTGTGAATCTGTGTGGTCCCGGGCTTTTTGTTATTGGGAGGTTTGTTTATTACTCTTTCAATCTTGCTACTTGCTATTGGTCAGTTAAGGATTTCTATTTCTACCTGATTCAAGCCTGGGAAGTTGTGAATTTCCAAAACGATATCCATTTCCTCTAGATTTTCTAGTTTGTGTGTGTAGAGGTTTTCATAGTAATCTTGGATGATATTTTTTTTATTTCTGTGATATCAGTTGTGATGTATTCTTTTTATTTCTGATGGAGCTTATTTGAATTATTTCTCTTCTATTTCTGATTAGTATATCTAGTGGCCTATTTATTTTGTTTATCTTTTCAAAGAGCCAAGTTTTCTTTGATTGATCCTCTGGGAGTTTTTTTGTTTCAATTTTATTTATCTGATTTGATCTTTATTTCATTTCTTCTGCTAGCTTTGGATTTGGTTTCTTCTCCTTTTTCTAGTTCCTTGAGGTGTGACATCAGGTTGTTAATGTGTGATCTTTATGTCTTTTTCATGTCTGCTTTTAGTGCTATGAACTTTCCTTTTAGCACTGCTTTTCCTGTGCCCCAGTGATTTTGGTAGCTTGTGTAATTTTTGTCATTCAATTCAAAAAAGTTTCTGATTTCCATCTTGATTTTGTCATTGACCCAAGGATCCTTCAGCAGCAGGTTTTTAAATTTCCATGTATTTGTGTAGTTTTGAGAGTTCCTTTTGGAATTGATTTCTAGTTTCATTACACTGTGGTCTGAAAAGATACATGGTATGAATTTAATTTTTTAAAAATTTGCTGAGACTTATTGTGTGCTCTAACATATGATCTATCTTGGAAAATGTTCCATGTGCTGATAAAAAGAATGTATATTCTGTAGTTTGGGGGTAGAATGTTCTGTAAATATCTTAGGCCTATTTGTTCTCGAGTATCATTTCAGTCCAGTGTTTCTTTGTTGATTTTCTGCCTCAATGATCTGTCTAGTTCTGTCATTGGAGTGTTGAAGTCCCTGGATATTATGATGTTGCTGTTTATTTCTTTCATTAAGTGTAGTGGTATTTGTTTTATGACCCTGAGATCTCCTGTTTTGGGTGCATATATATTTATAATTGTTATATCTTCTTATTGAATGATGCCTTTATCATTGTATAATGACCATTTTTTGTCTTTTTTTACTGTTGTTGATTTAAAGTGTATTTTAAATGGTATAAGAATAGCTACTCCTGCTTGCTTTTTGTTTCCATTTGCATGGAAGATTTTTTCCACCCTGTTACCTTGAGTCTATGAAAATCTTTACAAGTTAAACGAGCTTCCTGAAGACAGAATATATTTGGGTTGTGCTTTTTTAAAATCTATTCCACCAATCTATATATTTTAAGTGGGGTATTTAGACCATTTACATTCAATGTTAATATTGATATGTTAGATATCACACCAGTCATCATGTTGATTGCTACCTAGTTGCTTTGTTTTCTCCCTTGTGTTACTGTTTTGCAAGAGTTGTGAGTTTTTACTTTTGGTTGTTTCTACACTGGCGGGTGTGCATTGTTCTGTTCGATATATAGAGTACTTTTAAGGATTTCTTATAGGCCAAATCTAGTGGTGACAAATTCTGTTAGGGTTTATTTCTAATTTTTATTATAGCCATATATAAGTAGAATTAATTTTTCTATGCTGACCTTATATCCTGTAACCTTGCTGAACTTGTAGTTTCTTTAGGGTTTTCCCTTGCTCCCTCCCAGGCTGCTGGATGTGGAAAGGCCCACAGGGTTCCAAGCCAACAAGTGAGCCTCATGCCTTCCCAAATCTGTACCCCTACTGCCAGAGGTTTTTCGAAGTACCAAATGCATCACCCATTGAAGAGGCAATGAGCTGGCTAGCCAGCCTGAGACTTTAGTCCCCAAGAGGTAGAGATTAGAATTTTTATAGGTTCTTTGCAGCAGACAGGAGACTAAAAACAGTTGTGCCCAGTGCCCCTACTGTGTGCTGGACTTTTCCTGGTGCCTAAGAAAACTGGTAAAGGTGGAGGGAGGCAGGATCTCTGGAGTATTCTACTCTCACCCATCATGGACCCACTGCAGCCATAGCCTTCACTCTGGTCAGCTTTCAGGCAAAATAGTGGAAAGAAAAATGTGGGAACAGAGGAAAGGAGAGAAGAGTAGACCAGATCTCTGGACTGTCTATCAAGACTGCAGAAAGAGATCAGCTATATAGAAGCATTGGGGAAATAAAGGAGAAGCAATCCCTTTGTCTGTAAGAGAGAGTTCCTTGAATTATTAGTCTCTGTTATGATTTTGTTTCAAATACAGGGATCTGGCTTGTCAGTGTTCTAGAGGTGCTATGAAAGGAAAAGTGAGGATCTCAGTCAAGCAGAGAGATAGCAGGAAAGTCAGAACTAGACATCCAGCCCAATCTGGTTCCCTGAAGAGGCCACACACACCCCAAGCTGCAGAAAATGCTACTTTAGGAGCAATATCATCCTGCAGAGCGCCCACCCCTACCTAAGGCCTCATTTACCTCCCTGGGACTATCTACATGATTCAGGCATTAATGGATGAGTTTCTCCACTCCCTCTACTCACACTGCTTGCTACAAAAGGCCTCATCTCTCCTTCATTTCAACAGGTAGGCATGAGTCACAAGGGCTACACATACAAGATAGACTATTAAGGAGAAAAAATAAGTCCTTGTTACAAGCACCAGACAGCACAAGTAAATACATACTACCCATTTTGAATATAAAGATACTCAGCAGCACTGAGGAGAGGAGGAAAGGAGAAGATTAAGAAACTAAGACACTGTAAACTAAAATCCTCAACCCCTACCGGCTGACTGAATAGACCCCCTCGTGGCCAGAGGAATATTCAAGGGCAAAGTTGCCTGCCAGGAGGAGGGAGGTCAGACAGGCCTTATCATGCCCCCCTCCCTTCTTGGAGACTTCCTTTGTACCCCATTAATAGGCCTTAGGGTATGCAAGACAAACCTGCAGGCCCTTCTATTTGCAAAAATGGTGGCTTACCTCTGGTAAACAGTTTATGTTAAAACATTCCAGTTTTAGACAAAGCTTCATGTCTTTAGCCAATTACAATCTAAGAATCTTTAAACCCACCTATAACTGTAGCCCCCGCTTCGAGATGCCCTCCTTTTTGGCCAAACAATGTATACCTCCACACATTGATTGATGGCTTTACCCATAACCCTTGTCTCTAAACTGTATAAACAACCAAACTGTAACCCAGCACAGCGAGTCCACTTGCCCAGGCTTTTTGCAGTGGCTCCGGGTCATGGTCCCTCAATTTGGCTCAGAATAATCTCTTTAAAATTATTTTACAGAGTTTAGATTTTTTTTTTCATTAACAATTTTGGCGTAGTCGGCAGGATCTCAGAGAAGACTCAGGGCCGGCCTAAGGAGCAGCGCGGACTCGCGCCAGGTACTGGCATGCCTTTAGGCCTCCGACTCCGAGCTTCTCCTTTGCAGGAACTGGTAAGTCTCCTGAGATCCGGACCTCCCGTTTTGGTTGATGGT